GCCAACAAAAAATTTGGAGATGCCCTTTTTTTCCGAAAAGTGCCCCTAAAAGCCTGCCCCTCCCCCCAACTTTTCGAAGGTTCGTACGCCCCTGGTTCTGTGCACATGCATCAGGGTGCACCGGATTTGGCCTCTAAGAAATGGGCCCATATATGATTTTTAAACTGATGGTCCCATTATGCTTTGCACGCTCAGAAGTTTAAGATTTAGTGTTTAAGGTTTGCAAAGGGCAAACTTTTTTGATCAACCAGAAACAATAGCTATAATCATTAACCCAGGGATGGATCCAGCATGATCTGGTGGGGGGGGGGGGTGTTCTGCCAGCTCTGGTGCCGAGTTGTGTCAGTCATGTCATGTGTGCCACCCGGCAATCAACTTGCTTCACTACTGTAAAGTCTTGCTTCACTACTGTATTTGAATTGTATTTTGTTGTTCACAGTTTGCTTATCATCATGTACTGTATCTCATTTTGTCTCTAATATTTTTTGCTTTATCATAGAAAATAGCACCCCCCTGCACCCCCTCCGGCCAGGGCTAGGGGGTGCACCCCCCCTGCACCCCCAGTAAATCCATCTCTGCATTAACCAGGAATTTAACCAGGCATATAACTACAATATATAGGAGACAATGTTGATAATATTACAATACAACATAAAAAATATTTGTATCATTGAAAAAGTAGATGAATTCTGTTAATGTCTGTCTTACTTACAGATTTTTTCAGATTATATTTGGACATAAGCATATGTGCATTTTTGTGCAGTGCACTTCAGGATTATATGGTAGGGCCAGAAGTCTTGCTGGGGGACATTTCCTCAAATTTAAGTAGTGAGTGCTTTACTGGATGAATCACATGTACCCTACCTATCCACTTCCAACCCAACATCTTTTTCACATTTAATCTATAAAAAGGAAGCAAAAATATGGGAAAGAGTTGTGGGAAATATAAATTTTAAATATATAGGCAACCCCCATATTGAGGGGTCTGGATATCCAATGGGGGAGGAAGGGTCTTTCAACCTTATTTTTCCTAAGGGATTGGCTATGTGATTTTCCCTGAAAATGACAAAATTTTGCATCCGGGATGGGATCCAAAATGCATCCAGGAGGGATCCAAATTTACTTTATCCTAAAGGGGTTACAAATGGACCTCTCAATATGGGTGGAGGGTGTCTATATTAAATGGAATGGCCGATTATACTCCACCACAATGACAATTAAAATTGTCTGCTTTGACATGCATGGGTTTTCACCAAATATATTGTTCTTCACTCCGGCTCTGGTGTTGTGAGTATAGTGTTCTTCACTGTGACGTGTGTGATGACCTAAACAGTATTGTGTTCACCATGTTTTATACACTGCCATAAACCTGTCGAGTTGTCAACTTATAATCCACTGACAATTCGGCCTAGATAATCTCTGAAATCACTAAATATTTGTACCCTCTTTTGGTAGCAATTGGGAATATAACACAACATCAATGTACCACTGTGCCATCATATACCAAAAATCTACATACCTTTTTGGGCGATGGTTCAGAGTCCGAGCTTATAACGATACACTCGAGCTCTGTCTCTGACTCTGATGATGGCTATATTAATAATTTAAAAACATCAAATCATAAAAGTTATTTTAGCTCAATGTTTTCTGAGTGTTTTTTTTTAAATATCAGATTATAATAAGGTTACAAGGTGGATGCAATACGATATTTTGCATCGAAAATGATGCCAGTTTGATGCCACACAACAGCAAGCTTTACAATTGTTTATAAATATATGCATGAGGTTGAACGACAAAATTTACATGTGCGCATTATTATTACTATATTGACCATTTCGACAATTGCCATATATAAAGTTAAACATAACTGCGAATAAAACTTCTAGAATACCTTAGCGAATATCAGAATAAAGATAATAAAAATATAACAGAAATATAAAATACCTCACAGTCACAAACCGTTGTTGCCATGATCTCTTTCAGATTCAGGAAATTCGACTATTCGTCGACTATTCGTACTATTCGTACTAGTCGTCGACTATTCGCTGACTATTCGTACTATTCGTCGACTATTCGTACTATTCGTCGACTATTCGCGGACTATTCGTACTATTCGTGGACTATTCGTACTATTCGTCGACTATTCGCACTATTCGCACTATTCGCTTCACTATTCTAGTTTTATCAATTGCCATAAACTAAAAGCTGAAATTGCCTGTTCAATTTGTGTTTCAATTAGCCTTCCATTTTTGGTTACTTTTCAAAATAATGTTAGTATAGTGATGATACTAGCAGATCCCAAGCTATCCATGCATACTAAAGTTTTCACAAATGTTCATTTTCAGAACTGCGTAGACGTAGTTTTTCAATTTCACCCTGTAGTTCATATATTTCAACGCAACAATGTCTCCTTAGAACTCTGACTCAACTCAAAGTACTTAAACTTCCCTTTCAACTATAATGGCGTGCAATTATTGATTCAAAATATTTCGGCGTATTAAAGACTTAATGGTTTTTCCGTTCCTCCCCTAGCGCGTGAAAGGGAAATCATTTATCAAATCGATTTAAAGGCGGATGTCACGTCAACATGTTTTATTGGCCTTGTCAGAAAAATAGATCCCTCAAATGTATTTTTAGATAAATGGGTATAGAATAATTACAATAAGAGATTTTTTATTCTCGAAACTAGCCTAACCCAATAAGAGGTCTTTCATTGAGTTATAGGCTATAGTTATGCTCGGCTGGGTCATTATTTATGACGGGGGGGTAGCACCAAAGAGAAATATTTTTCTTGGTAAAAAAACTTACTGATCCAATCATTAAATTTAAGAAGTCAAAAATAATTTTACCCAACCTCAAACATCAATTAAAAAATGGATAACAAACGGATACCATTCAGTTGTCACACATGTCCTTTCCCACTTCGGTGACATGAGTTTGATAACTGCTTGTGCAATTGTCTAAAGTTTCATGTTGTCTGCACATGTACTTTCTTTGGAGACACCATTTGCCTCCTGACAAATCGGAAAATGATCAACTGATAGTGAATCTGATTGATTTATGCCTATTGTATTGACATATGACTGTTAACATTACTTTTCAGTCTTCAATATGTTTGAACGAGTCATGTTTTGGAAATGACAGTAATTTTTTATTACCCAACCCTTAAGTCGCCTTAAGTCGCCTTAAGTCGCCACTGATCAAGGATAATTTGATCCTGTTTTTGGATAAATTTAGCAGGATTTCAATTTGGATTATTAAAATAGAAAGGAAAGAAGCGAAAGTAAAACTAATGATCAAGATTCTAAATAAAATGGGGCCTAAATCACTGACTAAAAAACAAAACTATGAAATTCGATATCAAGTGGTTCTCTCTGTTTACCAAAGCCTCGTACAAATAATATGAATAGTTTCATGTTCGATGGGAACCGATCCGTTTGGAACTCACTACCAAAAGAAATAGCTAGGGAAAGCAAAGCTTTCTCTTGCTTTAAAAATAAAATTCCTAATCACATTGAATTAAACATTTATATATCCGCTTACGAAATGTTTAAATTCTTTCATCAACTTTCCTGTATGTACCCCAGGTGGAGTTACAAATTAGCTTTCAGCGCATGTATGTGGTCGACATTCTACAAGTTTAATACGTTTAATTTGAAGTGCAAATAAAGTCAACAGAATTTACTCAAAACAATCAGTAATGGATACGTTCATTATTTTTTATGGGATCAGACATGGCTATATATAAAACATATCTGTTTTTCATGACCAACATTTTTATAAAAGAATATAAAAGTGGTCATGGTCATCAGGTCATGGATGCAAATAGCATAAACATAGTATTACTAGTGAATATTTTGAAATAATATAAATATATGAATCGACTATAGATATACAGGGTAATTTGAATGCCATTTCAATTGCACATATTGTGCATATATTAGAAAAAGGAGACCTTTAGAAATCAACCATTGTTATAATTTGAATCCTGGAGCACTTTGCTAAGCCCACGCGAGTGCGTAACATGCGATTACGTACAATATGCACGGCAGATTGTTCCCAGGAGCAGACAATCTTTTGTTTAAACGTTATTTCAAATTCTAAAGGTCTCCTTTTTCTAATATATGCACCCCATCAATATTTCACGCACTACGGTTCAGCATATGTGCAATTGAAAAGGCCGATTCAAATTTTAACAATATGGTTGATTTCTAAAGGTCTCCTTTTTTTTTAGACACCCTGTAATTTATTGTACTGTACATCAGTGACTTTTAGACTTTAGGCTTTATTCAAATTTGCACACTGATTATTACATATATACATATACGACAGATTCACAGTTACTACACGAAAAAAAAAACTAATCATAAGTTACAATGATTACAAATAATTATCATGCGCAGTGATCAAAGTAGCCCGCCCTTTGCATTCAGCAGAGTGCTGAGGCATTCAAATTCTAACAATACGTTATTTCAATAGTTTTGGGGTTTTTTTGGGACACCCTGTATAGCATTTAAGTTTATTGAGGACTCATTTTTTTATTGAACATGTTTAATTTGCAGTGTCCATTTAAAGAGTAAGATTTGTTTATAAATCAACTGTGCAATTACTGAAATCCCTTCCTAAAACTCTTAGTCAATGCATGGAACCGTTTCCGTTTACATGGAACCTAGGAGAGGTTTCTTTATAGGACTTTCTGTGAGACCCCAAGTGGAGCTAAAATTGAGACAATCAATGTCAGCACGTGAGATCGACAATGTTTAAGACACTTGTTACAAGAGTGAGTTAACCAGATTTAACAAATGAATAGCCTGCGCGTAGCCGGCGGTTTTAAGGGTTGGGGTTGAGGCGCAGGCAACAAAAATTAGGGAGGCGAGGCGCGGGAAGGGGAAATTTCTTCGGTGGCGAAGTAGTTAGCCTTTCACCTCTAAGGCCGCAGGTTCAAGCCTCAATGAGAACTTTCTCAATGCGACTCGAACCCAGTCCTCATGTGAAAAGTGTACTGAGTCAACGCTCTGCCGAAAGTCGTGGGTTTTCCCCGGGTACTCCGGTTTCCTCCCACAGGAAAAGTTGACAGGGTGGGTTAGGTAAAAGGGCCCACAGTAATTGGCACATGCTGTTGTGGTGAGCCTGCCCTAGTTGGCAAAGCTAAATAAATAAAAAATAAATTATCGGCGGGCATGATGCTCCTAGAGTTTTGTCGGATTTTTGTAGCTAATAAAACAGCAATATTAACTTATTATTTTCAATGTTTCTGTGGAGCCCTGATAAAAAAATATATGTACTACAAATAATAAGAATAATAATAATAATGAAAACTTTATTAGTAGAACATTTATAGATATATACAATTGTAAATCTCACTTCTTGAGGTAACCTACAATTGACTACTTGAATCACTTATACATGGTTATAATTTTATATACAAAAATTTGTTCATTATTTATTGAAATAGTTACTTTAAATGTTCATTAGTTCGGGATTTGTCCATTCTTTATTTCTACAGCAAAATATG